GTGCAAAGAATTATAAAAAAAAGAAAAAAACAGTTGGATAAAGTAAGTGAGGAAATCAGTTTTGATGACCAGGGTTGCATAAATGCCTTTTATTGTAACTAGCAGCACTGCAAAACTTTTTCAAGTATATGCCTTCCCTCAAAAACTGAATTTCAACAATCAGAAACATAAAACTTGCATTGATGAACACTAGGAATTGTATTAAGAAAGTTGGCATAAAACATATCAAAGATAATTAACCAAAAAGTTAATCAAAGATAAACTTCTAGAACTAGCTGCCTGTAATAAATTAATGAGAAATCATATGGAAAAGGACAGGAAATTAAGGATACAAGCTTTATTCATTGTTGTTATAAACCAAGGATTGGAACTTTCATAAGTTACAAATTAAGGATGTGTACTTTTAGAAATTACTAGAGAGAGATTAATTAAGCCTTTAAAATCAATTGAATTAATCCTCATAATCAATCCAATTTAACCTTCTATAGTGATTTTGAAAAGGACACATCCTTGATTAGTAAATTATAGTTTACATCCTTCATTTGTAATGAAAAAAGTTATGTCCTTATTTAGTAAAAGGATGAAAATTCATGCCCCTTTCTATGCGATTTTTCATAAATTAATCCAAGATAAAGTCCTGGAACTAGCTATCATAAATTAATCAGAGATAAACTTCTAAAACTTCACATCACATTGCACCTGTATCATTAGCTTCCTTATTTTCATTAAACTGATTCTTTCTCACTAAGGCTTTTTTAGCTTTTTACGGCATCTTTCTATAGAAACAAATAATATCAAAGGTTCTACTTTTGCAGCTCCTCCAGGATTGTGAGGCTTCCTGAGATGTCTAATGCAATTTAAAGTTTAGAACAAAAGATCAGAATTCATATTGTCATTAAAGATGAACAATTTCATTGCTGAGTGAGGCATTGTCATCATGCATGAGAATTACAGTGGTCAAATAACTGTGTAATGATATCACTTGGCAACCAAAAGAAATAACTTTAGTAATTAAAAGAAATAACTAGAGTAAGTACTTACTATGAAGTAAATAGTGGAGAAAACAGCAATTGTCCAATATCTTCCCCAATAAGCATCTGCTAAGACTGCTCCAATAAGAGGGGTAAGATAACAAGTGCCTGACCATGTGGTGACATTTCTAGCAGCAGCTACATTTCCTTCATTGAGTTTGCTTGTCAGGTAAGTTACAAGATTAGTGGCAATACCATAGTATGCCAAACGTTCACAGCATTCGGTACCTGTGTTTCATATTATGATTGTCAAGTAAAATAAAATTACAAGGACAAAACAGTTGAAGACACAAAGGATAATTTACCCAAAATGAAAGGGCAGGCTTTCCAATTTCCAGTGTTCTCTTTGAGGACAGGCTTCCCTTTAATATCAACTGAGCCATCTCCAGTGTACAGTCCACTGCCTTCACTCTGGAGACAAAAAAAAAAAAAAAAATCATCATAAGCGCTTCAAAGTTCAAGCAACAGAAGATCAGAAGATTTTAGTCAGGAAACATGTATAATGAAAATTAAATGATATCCTGCAAACGAACTGCCTAAAAGATAAATTCCTTAGAAAAAAGCAACATTACCAAGTCATATTTGCTTTCACATACAAACATTAAAGAAAATTCAATCACATACCAAAGCTGTTTTGAATACTAAATTGCAGGAATCTGGACAAAGAATACAGCTAAAACTTATGATCGTCAGTCCGCAATGAAGAAAATTACTCTGGCTGCAGCCTCCAGAGCAAATTATCACACTATTGCCTACAGACAAACACAGATAGAACTCAGGCTTGCAGGATGCAGCCAAGCACAAGCTGAACCCAAGTCAGACCCGTAAGTTTCCTACTTTATAAAGAACCATTCATCAAACCCAACTAAGCTGTCCATTTTTTTGCGTTGATATATTGCAGCTTAAATTTTACCCAACATAGTTCAGAGATAGAACTCAGTTCTCAGCAATCAAGATAAGGAACTGTAACAGCAAATACCAAAATAAAAAGAAACCCAAGATTCTACATCAGCAACACATCATATGCCAGCAAAATATTCATTTCCCAATTGCTCCTTCATCATAAAAAATTATGGGTATCCACAATTAAAAATGAAAAAAAAAAGATACAAAAAAAAAAAAAAATCGTAATATCCCCAAATGTGTCATCGATTCCTAGAATCCACGCATCACGGTTCGTAAAAAATAAGATATAAAATCATTGATATGGAATAGTGAATGGATAAATTCCGCGATACCCACTAATCTGAAAAAGGAAAAATTAAAATCAAAAGTGGAAAATTTAAAGAACCTGAAGAAGCCCATCTTCCAAAGGCGATCTCTCATCCTCAAGCGAACCCATATTTGTCTTTGAATCTGATCCCCAGAACGTAGTCCCAGAACAGAGACAGAGATGAAGAAGGCAGAAGAGAAGACAGGCAGATACCGTTTAAGTTTTCGCTTCCCTCTTTATCGGTCAAGGAATCTGCAGCTGTCTTGTTGGACTGGGCTAAGGACTATAAATGGGAGACATCATGGCCCTGGATCTTCTTTGCTAGTTGTCATCTTGTCCGTCAATCTAGTTACCTAACATTTATCCATCGGTCAGACAGCCTATATCGGGATGCGGGATCCTGTGGGATAGTAGCGTATATGGAGGAGACCACTTTAGTACGATAGAAGTCTAACCTTATCAATGCCTATAGGATAACAAGATATGTAATTCGTATTATTTTGGGTGAGATCTACTTACATTACGTAGCATAGTTTATAAATTACGTTCAGAATTAAATTTTGAAGTATAAATCTACAAAGATCCTCACGTTCCGGTTAAAATTTTTGGTTAGTAGGATCAATTTTCATAAGTTTATTTTTAAACCCCATAAATTTCCTTTCTCCAACCCTCATTTACTTTTTTCACAAAAAAAAAGAAAAAAAGAATGGATTTGAAAAAAATAATTTTATTAAACATACTCTAATAAAGTGAGGATGTATTGTAAAATTATTTTAAAAAATAATCTTAAAGCACATAAAATTTAATTAAGAGATAACTTAATTATAAATATAAAAAAATATGTAATTTATATTATTCTTATGTATAAATATTAATTTTTTTAAAATTAAATTTAGTTGAGTTTTATGTAAAATTTAATTTGATAATTTTATATAATAAATAAATAATAATTAAATTTTCTATCTAAATAAAAATTTTTAACAAAAATTTTATATATAAATTTTTTTATTATCTATTTATTATATAAAACAACGGAAATAACTAAAATCTACTAGAGAATTAACTATTTTACTATAGTAATTATTTTACTATAAACGAAACAAAATTTTGTCTAAAAAATGGTGAGTTTATTTGTCAATTTAAAAACTCAATATTTGTCAATTTAAAAAGTTAATGTGGGAAGAAATTTTAAAAATAAATTTAGCCTTTAACAATAAAGACAATGTATTATAAACGTCATCAATTGAATAACAAAAAATCAATATACATGAGGTAAAAAGAATATACTCTTCTAAACGTCAAATATATATATATACTCTTTTACTTTAAAATAATAATTATTTTTTAGTTTTTTTAAATTAAAAATTTGAGAATAGTTTATATATTTTCCTATATTATTTTAAGAAAAAAGTTTAAAAATATAGAGATAGTTTTTGTGATAGGATATTTAATTAAAATAAATAAATATTAATATAGTTAAATTAAGAAAAATATTTATCTATCTTAAAAAATAAAAAAATAAAAATTAATTTAGAAAAAATTCAAAGTTAAAAAAGATTGTTATTTTAAGATAAAGAAAGTAATAAACAAAAGAAAAAGATGTGAGAGAACATAAACAAGCACTTCTTTTTTTTAATATTAAAAGTGAAACTCGAACCTCATATCTCTAAATTTACATAAAAAGTCCTTAACAAAGGAATGATAATCACTTAGCCACTAGTACATTATCTATTGAACAAACACTTAAAAAAAAAGGATAATAATGAACAATTTTTTTTTTCAATTAATGTTATTTTGTTTTCCTTGAAAAAAAAATATCTTTATTTTTTCTTATATTTCATAGTATTAACTCTATTTTCCTAACCTTTCTCATTATCATCAAAAGTTTTAAAATGGTAGAAACATATTCAAATGTACTTACTTCAGTTAACTTTAGTGGACTTCATTTTTAATTTGAGGTGTTAAAATTTAACTATCTATTTTTTTTTTAAATGTAATTTAATGCATTTGTTTTTATTTTATTATTATTTTAAAAAGATAATTACTATATATATTAAATAAGAAGATTTATTTAAGTTAAGAATAAATATGAAATTTTATCAATTAATTATTATATTCTTATTTTATTAGACCAGAAAAGTTAAGTCTATTAAGGTTGAATAGATGGAGTATTATGCAAGCAATAAGGATGAAAACAATAAAACTAAAATATAAAGGACCAAACTTATTTTCTTCACAAAAGTTTAGAGGAGGCCTGTGCCCCTGTTAAGCTCCGCCAGTTGTAGAGCTCTCCATTTCATTGTAATTTTATTTTTATAATGAATCTTTTCCATTTGTTTTCAATGAGAAGGTGAATTATTGTTCATATTCTTAAAGCAAGGGAATCATAAGAATGGTTACCAGAAGAAAAACATATAACAAAAAGAGTTAGTATTTGTTTTACCATTCAAATTATATTAAATTATAAAATATAAATATTAAAAAGTTTATTTTAATATAATTTGATACAATTTAAACTATACACAATTTTTAGTAATAAAAATTGATTACATCTCCTACGTACATGAATGCCATATATAGCAATGTAGAGGAAAGAGGGAACAACCATAGAGATCGCAATTAGATCGCTCTATTTTATATAGAATGAGATAGTTGCCTGGGGTAGAATAGGAGGATAGAAAGGGAATTGCATTGGAATTCTTAATTTCTCATGGCTTCCTTAACTATTCGTCCAACACTCAAGGAGTTTAGTTATCTGAGACCCACCAAGAGACCTCACCTCTTGGCCATCAAATAAAACAATACCCTTATACCCAAAGTAGAAGCCCCAATCTAATTTCTTTAAACTTTTTGCCCCTTTCAGGAGCTCAAATTTTATTTTTAGATAGACTACGTCTCATTTCGCCACCCAGGCTTGTTCTCTCACCCTCCACAAACAAAATTAATTTTTAGGCAACCATCATCCTATTTTCTCATAATTTTTATACAATATTAATTCTTATATTCACAATACAAAACAAAATTTTATTAATCTTTAATGATAGACTAATAATGGTTGATCATGTAGTATTATATGCCATTAATTGTATATAAAACAAATATATAGAGTAGAAGAATACTACTACATGAATAAAAAGAAAGTAGAAGGGCATTAATGAACAAATATTTTGTAAAAGGATGATATTAAATAGTTTTATATTCAATTAATGTTTGCTTTCTCTTATCTTTCTTTTTATCTTTATTTTCCTCATCTTTCTTGTTTATAGGTGTCGAAAGATGGAGTCACCATTTATTCAAATAATGATGCAATAGATTACCTAATCTATGTAGAAATGTAATTAGATTTGAAGGTTTAATTAAATATAGAGAAAGTATTATACACCCACACAAAACCACAACCTCCATATAAAATATGGTTCAAACTTAAATTTTTCGAGAATTATTGATTATCCAAACAAGACATGCAAGTCATTTATTTAAATATATTTCTTCTACCATTTTCTTATGTGAGTTGAACCAGTCGAATATCACATATGCAACGATGCATGTTATTTTTATGCCTATTAACCAACTGATTTAATGACAAAGCCCATTTCATGGGTGCACACTAAACCAAGTTAAACAGTTCAAAATCAAAACTCTAAGCAAGAATGGAAGGCAAAGAAACATAATCTAAACTCCTGTTTGGATAAGGATGAATGGTTTGGGTTAGAAGTGAAAGTTGATGAAGAACAATTAGAATGGCTTCGCAACTGCTATGTTGGAAGTGCAAGATGTCCTGAAATAATATGTACACTCCAAGACAAATTTTTGACGGAAGGATACTTCTTAGCCAACCTTACACCAATGGGAAGGAATCTGGTGCTGATATCTTGTAATGATGCAGAGGAACTAAAACATTTAGTGGAACATGGAAGTGAATGGCTAGCACAATGGTTTTCAGAAGTGAGACCATGGACTCCAAAAGAGGTGGCAAGCGAGCTTTGAAAATGGTTGAGATGGAAAGGAGTTCTTTTACATATATGGAAGAGCAGCTTCTTTGACAGTCACGTGTTTGTTGGGAAGTTCATATCATTGGATGGCAGCACAATAAGAAAGAAGAGATTAGATGTTCCAAAAATCCTAATATATTCAGGAGAATATCCAGAGGGTGCTTAAAGTTAAAGTTGGGGATTCCATATTCCATATTTGAGTGTCTGAAGAGGTAGGGATTGACAATCTATTCTCTCTAAAGCTAGATTTCACTTTATGTAGAGATGATGCCTTAATCTTAGAAGATTGGTCAGAGGATTCAAACAAAGGACTGTGTAAGGATGAAGAAGACATGGGAGATTAGAGGATAATAAAGGATGATGAGGAGATGGTGGTAGCCTCAAATGTAGCAGAGTTGGTGCTGGGGAAATTAGTTATGTCGCCGGAATGGAAAAAGAAGTGGAATGAGTATTAGAGACAACGGGCATATATGAGAGCTCATTTAATGCAAGAGTTCAAAATTCAAATACAATGATAGCTGATGGAAAGTTTGAGAAGGCTAATGGAATAGAAGTTGTGGAGAAGGAAATAGATACAACAGGAATTGAAAAAGAGGGAGAATGAAGGCTAAGTGACAGGTCTTCTCAGCTATTAAGAAAATCTAAGTCAATTGAAAGCTTAGATTTTCTTAATTCAAATTTGGGTAGGGGCCCATTGGGACAACATGGAATTGGGCCTAAAAATGATGAGGGGAGTGACAGTAATGGGGCCAAGGTTTGTGTTGTGATCCAAATAGAGAAACAAGCCATGGTGGGTTCGACATGGAATTAAAATCAAATGGGCATCTAGATTCTCTAATAGCTGGTTAATGAATCATAAAATAAGGGAACAAAAGGAAACAAGTGTAGAAACTTGGTGAGATCTAATGGAAGAAGAATGGAGCACACACTCATTTTGGGAAGGATTGGCTAGTGACAACGAGATTTTGCAACAAGGCTGAAAGGTTGGCGAGGGACAAGAAAAGAAAAAGAATGATGGAAAGGAGAATGAAAGCTTTG